CCTTAGCAAAGCGCATCCCAGGCTGCATAGCCGCACTACCCTACCCAACCATACCACACATAAACATGACACTACCCCCGGGGTTTACACAGACGAGCCGGCGAAGCAAGAAGAGCGCCAGAAGAAAGGGCCCTAGCCGGCGGGGCCCAGCCAGGACAAAAGGAGGTCCCACAAAGCGCCTACACCGGCCGCATTTGCGGTCGGGGTAGACGACGGATGGGGCCCACCTACGAAGGCTGTCCAGGCCTACACGAGATGAGGCAGGATAAAGAGGGATAATCCCCCTCGATCCCAAATCATTGAGGCCAATTTCTAGCCATAGAATAATGGCGTGTTATTGGAATATGTAAATAATTGTACTAGTTTTGCATTGTATTTACTGATTTGTTACTTACAAAAACTAATATTTATGTGTCAAAACGATACCAATAAATTCGTAAATTAATTGATGAAGAACTTCGTCAATTTATTCATGAATAAATTGTCAATGTAAAACAGCTATTGCGGAATTTTAAATCTCATTCGAAAAGAAAATGGAAGAATCACTTTATTACACAACTCTTCGAAATTATTTATTTCAATCAGTACAAAACAAATAACATTATACGAAACAGACTTTTAATTAGCAGTGCACTTCACTGTTCCACCCTGTACATCGTTCTCTTAAACGTTAAAACGTTCTTATAAAAAGTGGGTATGTTCAAATGATCGATCGTGGTGTAAAACTGACAGGTACTAGATTTTAAAGGCTTGCCAGATGTGTTTTCTGACTGCGTTTCGAGCCAATTCGATCAACGAAGGCACTCTCGGCAGTTTACTCAAAATCGTGCTCATTTGTTTGTCAAAGCGTCGATTAACTGAGGACAAATGGAATACTTCAACAACCGCACCAAGTCCTCTTTAGGAATATCGTTTACTCGATCCGCAACCCTCTCGAAATTATAATGGACGTCAAATATTAATCTAGAACGAGTCATACGAGGTAGTCAACCTCACGTAGTCGTTATTCATGTACAATAGTATCCTTAACAATTCACAATATCCGTAATGGAAGATCATGTGAATGTCGTAGCTGGTAGCACAAAATCTACATTGCAACAAACGACACCTAAGAGCCATCAGTTGTTCAAAATCGTATTGGTTCGTGGCAAATTTGTTGACGAACAACAAATAATTGTTCCCTTTGGAAAAAACTCTACGGCGGGTTCGATTGTAACTTGGAGAAACGTCGGCACCAATTCGATGTAAGCCAAGAAATCGAGTAAATTGATGGTACCTTTAGTATCATTGTAACGCAGTCCCTCCCATACCATTTTAAACGTAAACGAGTCCACATCATTCTGCAAACAGTCCAAAAACGCGCACATCTTACTTCCGTCTTCCAAACTATCCCCATAATTCACATCAGCGCCTCGTTCTAGAATATCTTTTACAAACGGTGACGTAGCTTCCAATGCAAGAGTCACAGTGGACCTGAACGGAACGAGATCGCGGCTAATCCTGTTGATGTCGTCCACGTACTCTAACAGAGACTCTTGAGCAGCGACATTATTATAGTCGAGGGCTGCCATGAAGGGAGTACGGCAGTAATAGTCAGGAATGTTGGCGTCAGCGTTGTAATATAGCAGCATATGCACTATTTCCAGGGACCCGTCCTCCATCAACTCATGTAGTAACGTCTGACCGCATGAGTTAGCAGCATCGATTCGAGCACGTGTTGTATAAGCAAGTGGCAAATGTCCAGATGCCACGCCGACACATGCAAAGGGAAGTAGTTTTCACTGTCAGAGATATTTACATCGGCGTCAGCTCGGGTCAGTTTCTCCACCGATTCGATATACCTGAACGCAGTCGCTAGGAAAACGGGAGTTTTGTCTTCAGAGGACCTGGCGTCCACGTCTATGCCTTTCCCGGCCAGCAAGTACTTTAATATTTCCAGACTGGAAAAGTGTGTCGTATTATGGATGATAACTTTACTATAGCGTAAAATGCCCAAATAGTCACAGAATTTTTCGTACCAGCCTATTTTTGAGGGCCCTCAACACGAATTTAAAACTATTTTTTGTGTGGTCAAACCTACGTTTTGGAAAAATAAAACAAGATTCGTGTTCAGCACCCTCGAAAACAGGGGGTTGGTAAAATTTTGTGACGGTTTGTGCATTTTACACTACGTAAATAATTACCAAATTTTGTTTTTCAATCAACTCACTGGTTTTTTAAAACGGCCATGTGGAGTAGGGAGAAGTTGCATTGGGTTTCCTTCTGATTTACAGACTCTCCTGATTCTATCCGACACTTGACAGAATGAAAATCTCCTTCAAGCACCTCTCTGTGAATTCTGGATACTGATATAGACGGTAGGCACATATTGTAATGACGCATATCCTAAAATCGTTTCAAAAATACTGTAGAAAACCACATTTGTTACGAATTTACACAATCTACCCTCGAACTTAAAAATCATCTCGTCGTCACCATCACCAGTCGAATCACTCGAACCCATTTTTAATTCAACGTCGTCCTACTCTAGTTCTTATTTACATGCACTGTAAAATTAAAAGGTAAATTCATGGGTAGATAAAGTGTTAAATTAATTATTTACGTTTTGCTGAACCATTTGGGTTAGAAGAACGTGCAACCCTTCTTCAAAAATTGAATGTTTGCTCTTACATAGGCTTGTTTGTACGGACGGCAATTTTGTAATTACATGTAGTGATGGGACTACTCGAATGAAAATTATCGATTATATCGATTATGAAAATCTCTCGAGATATCTCGAGTGGTCATATAGAATCATTCGATTATTCGGATACGAATGACAGTGGCCACAGCGTTACTAATACCTGCACTACTCGAGCGAGTGCGCAGATGTTTCGATTGTTCCAACGCTCTAACGAGCTACAACATCTCGAGATAAGACGGCCGAGAGCCGAGAGGATAGATGAGACAAGACAATCGAATATCACCGCACCGACATCAAGAAAAAAGGTATGCAGANCGCTGAATCCGAAAATGGCAAAAAAATTGTTTGGACGTGAGGGATCCCTCTACTCATTTGTATCTCTCACTTTCTTCTTTCAAAAATAAAAATAAATACAAATCAAACGTGGCAACCGTTATAACTAAAATCTGTCGATAAAACCAAAACTAAAAAATATTCTTGAACTAAAATCTCCCTTTGCTCGTACACTTAACCTCACCTTCAGCTAGCATTTTCAAATTACGGTTAGCATCCTAGCATTGAAAGCTTATTGTTTTCCAAAATGTTTCAAACTCTTAGGTAACTTTAAGCTAGATAGGTATTTTCTAAATCCAGTAAAATGCTAAAACGTTTTAGAAAATACCTTTCGCATGCTACTAGCTTAATGTTACTTAAGAGCATTTGGAAAATAGTAAGCTTTTACTGAAAAATTTCATCAGTTCTAGGATGCTAACCGTAATTTGTAAATGATATCTGGGGGCGAGGTTAAGTGTACGATCAAAAGAAACTTAGTTCATCAAAATTATTTAGTTTTGGTTTTACCGACAGATTTTATAAAAGTTATAACGGTTGCCACGTCTGATTTGTATTTATTTTTAATTTTGAAAGAAACAAGTGAGAGATACGGATGAGCAGGGGGATCCCTCACGTCCAAACAATTTTTTTGCAATTTCCGGATTTAGCTAATTTTACTAAAGGTAAGTTGGATGGGCAGTTTAAATTTTTGGGGGAATTGAGAGTGTGTGGGGGAGAGTCCATACATTTTTCTTTTTATCATTTTCGAATTCAGTGGAAAATTTTACTAGAGGTTGGATGACTAGTTTGAATTGTTTTAATTTTTGGGGAAATTAAGGGTATGTGGTCTGGAATCCACACGTCAGAATTGTTTCTTATTATTTTCGGATTCAACGGAAAATTTTACTAAAGAAGGGTAGGTTCACGTCTCAAAAACACAGGATTTCTTTTGTCGGCCTGTGTAGTTAGACCGTTATTCTGGCCTGGCTTCAACGTCATCAGAAGCGTCAACTCGCTTCTGATTTTCGCTCCAGTCACAGCTCTAACAGCATTCACTGCTTGTGCATTAGATTTTTCGTGTATTGATAAATTTTTAAGCCACCAACAATGGCGAGTGTTAAAGTGTGTGTTTTCAATTGCAGTTACAATGACAAAAAAAATGACAGATGTAGAGTACAGCAGCGATGATGATACTCAGGACGAATCATCAGATTGCGATTCAGAGTAAAGTGCACTGTGCGTATTTCGGTAGAAAAACCAATTTAAAACCATTGTGTAAACAAATATTACCAAATAAAAAAATTATAGCAATTTATTTGATTGCACTTAAACTTATGTAGCTCTGGCATAGCCTTAACCTCTGAGTAAACTTCTGTTGTTTCGTTATATATAATATAAAGATTAGCTACGTAAAATGCTAGAACTATACTTAATCATTTATTAACAATAAAAGATCAAAAACGCCGGGCGTAACAACCACGGCAAAATTTGCACGCGCAGTGATAAATAATGTTTTTTTGACTATTAGCCTCACTTTTAACTTCTGTAACTTTACAGATAGTCTATTTGCATTATAAACTAACAATAAACAAAATGTCAGAACTATATATTGTGATTTATTTTTCAATTCACAATTTACTACTTTATCGCTTCTGAGAGCGCTTAAGCCACCACCTAGCCTTCTGACAATATTTTTTCTATGTTTATCCACTTAAAATCTATAAGTGTACCAGTTTTCATGACTATATTCGATTATTTTTTTATTGACAAAACTTTACGCGTTTAACCGCCCGCTCACGCTCTCC